CAATAGAAAACATAAAACAAAATAAACAAAACAAAATAAAAACAAAATAAAACAAACAAAACAAACAAAACAGAGAAAAAAAAATAAAACAAGCAAAACAAAAACAAACAAAAGAAAAAAATAAAAAACAAAACAAAAAACAAAAGAACAAAAAAAAACAAACAAAACAAAAACCAAAAGAACAAAATAAAATAAAATAAAATAAAATAAAAATAAAAATAAAAAAGCTTACAGCTTCAGAAATAGCAAGAACCTGCAGCTCAAGAAAATGTTTAAATACGGCGAGATAGTCGATGGGTGTGAGTACATCGAGCAGCAGTTCTCTCCATGCATGCAGAGTTTGTGGTTCTTTTGCTGCTGCTGCTGCTGCTGCTGCAGCAGCAGCAGCAGCAGCAGCAGGGGGTGGTGCAGCAGCAGCAGCAGCAGCAGATAGAGCCCCGAAACGTCTTGCTGCTGCTTCTAGTTCTTCTGATATAACCCTTTTTGTTGAAAATGAAACATTGTGAGTTGAATTCATCGCCGGGAATGCTGGGGTTATTATCTTCAATAAATGGTGACGGTCCTGCACACAAACCCTAAACCCTAAACCCTAAACCCTAAACCCTAAACCCTAAACCCTAAAGTCTAAAGTCTAAAGTCTAGAATCTAGGGGGTATGAAGAATTCTGAATGGGGTTTTATGCAGTGTGATGAAACGCATGGACTGTGTATACACTTGAAACCCTAAACCCTAAACCCTAAACCCTAAACCCTAAACCCTAGAAGAGAGGCTTCCGTCGCGGGTAGATTATAGCTTCTTTGTTTCTTCTCACTGGGGATTTGAAAAGAAAGCGTTCAGGGTTTATTAGGGTTTATTGATTAGGGTTTATGATTTAGGGTTTACTGATTAGGGTTTATTGATTAGGGTTTATTGATTAGGGTTTATGAGGGCTTAGGGTTTACCTGTGCATTTGAATTCTTATAGATCTATCCTATCTACTATCTACTAATAAGGCTTTCCTAGGGTTTAGTGTTTCCTAGGGTTTAGTGTTTCCTAGGGTTTACAGTTTCCTAGGGTTTAGTGTTTTCTAGGGTTTAGGGTTTACCTGAACATAAAGCTGCGGGTTCCAGACTTTGAATTCCGGAATTCCTTTGACTGTATTAGGTTCTACTATTAAGGCTTTCCTAGGGTTTAGTGTTTCCTAGGGTTTAGTGTTCAGGGTTTAGGGTTTTCTAGGGTTTACGTTTTACCTGTACATATAACTGTGGGTTCCAGACTTTGAATTCGGGTATCCCTTTTACCGTATTAGGTTCTACTACTAAGGCTTTCCTAGCGTTTCCTACTGTTTAGGGTTTAGGGTTTTCTAGGGTTTAGGGTTTATATGTTACCTGTACATATAGCTGTGGGTTCCATACTTTGAATTCCGGAATCCCTTTGACTGTATTAGGTTCTTTAATTACGGCTTTCCTAGGGTTTAGTGTTTCCTAGTGTTTCCTAGGGTTTAGGGTTT